TTACTGGCTGGAGGATGATGAGGACACCAATCCTGGCAATGAAAGAATATTGACAGTTCCCAACCTCCTGTAACAGTGCTACAGCAGATGAAAGCTCAGACTTTCACCTGTGTTTAAATGGGATGGGGGTTACAGTGGAAAGTATGTAGTAGCTGGAAAACTCTTGGACACTTGAGAAATATGAGAAAAACAGTAATTGTCTGGACCAAGGAATTGGGTGGCTATTGCTGAGTGCCATTGATTCATTAAAGACAGAAAGTGAAGGCTGGACACAGTGGCTCACAATTGTAATCCCACCACTTTGGGAGGCCAAGGCAGAAGGATTGCTTGAGGCCAGGAGTTCAAGACCAGCCTGGGAACATAGCAAGCTCACGCCTCTAAAAAAAAAAAAAAAAAAAGAAGGCCGGGCGCGGTGGCTCATGCCTGTAATCCCAGCACTTTGGGAGGCCGAGGCGGGTGGATCACGAGGTCAAGAGATCGAGACCATCCCGGTTAACACGGTGAAACCGCATCTCTACTAAAACTACAAAAAATTAGCAGGGCATGATGGCGCGTGCCTGTAATCCCAGCTACTCAGGAGGCTGAGGCAGGAGAATTGCCTGAACCCAGGAGGCGGAGGTTGCGGTGAGCCGAGATTGCGCCATTGCACTCCAGCCTGGGTAACAAGAGCGAAACTCCATCTCAAAAAAAAAAAAAGAAAGAAAGAAAGAAAATTAACCTGGTGTGGTACATGCCTAGCTACTACTACTTGGGAGGCTGAGGCAGGAGGTTTGAGGTTACAGTGAGCTAGGACTGTGCTACTGTACTCCAGCCTGGATGACAGAAAGACTCTGTTTTAAATGAAGGAACAGGGAGAGGCAAGGGGGAAGGAAAGAGAAAGAGAGAAATTTGTATGTCTTTAAGAGATAATTGTTTAAGGCAAAAATAACGTATTGTAGAATTTATAATATATTTTGAAGTGAAATGTAGGATAACAAAAGCACAAAGGCCAGGAGGGGAGGAATTGGAATATACT